TTCCTGCCTTCAGGGAGAAGGTATCAGAGTCTTCAGGCCCACTCCACCAGACTTACAAACAGCTTCATCCACCAGGCTGTGAGGATGTTGAACATTGCTCACTACCTCCCCCCCTCTGCCTCTGGACCGTAACCCACCACAGAACATAAAAAGATATAAAAAGACTACCCCTGCTGTTTTCACAAACTCAGTACATCCCCCCTTTTGTTAGATTACAGGTTAATCTGCTGCTGACTGTTGTGGAAACAAAAAAAAAAACTATCTCTGCTGTTTTACCTTCTGTTATGTTATATGTAAATCTGCTGCTGCTTTTTTTTTTTTTTTTTTTTTTTTGCTGGGATATCTGCTGCTGTTGGTCATTTGCTGTACTGTCCATGTATACCTCATATGCTATTTGCACCTCATCACCAACATGAGTCTGCATGCTGAAACATCTGACAATCTCCTATTATTGTTTTGCACTACTGTAACTGACTGTACACGGTTTTGAATTACAGCTTATTGGCTGTACCGTTTAGATTTATCCTGATTGTCAATCCAGTTCTTATTCTATTCTATTTTTATTCTACTTTATTTTATTTTATTCCTTAATGTTATGGCACCCAATACCAGGTGAGAGAGAAATGGTATTTTGATTTTCTGTATGTCCTGCACATATGATGAACTGACAATAAAATCCTTGAACCTTGAAGAGAAGGCAGGTCATACACAACAGCGAAACACACCGCTGCACTGGGTGACATATTTCTTCATTAGCAAACACCAGACTCAAGCATGACGAGCTAGTGGAATTTAAGCAAAGCTGAGAGCTCGCCTAGAATCGTGCGCATGTGCAGTTGATTCTGACTTGTGCCAATTTCACAAAATTACTCCTGCTCAGAGAATTTTGGGCAACATGGTCAGATCTGGTGTTTTGTTATGTAAAACATGTCACCCACTCCAGCGGTGTGTTTCCTTGATGTGTTGACACATTGACAGACATTAACCACGAGTATTTTTGTGTTGTCTCAGATGTACTCCCTTTTGTTACATTAAGATTATACATTTTAGTGATGTGGCACAGGGGTATATTTTGAATACTGTGAGTTGACAGCCAAATATAGAATTACAGATCATGACCTCTCCTCCATGATTGCAAAGCTCTGTTTTCCTTAATTGACAGACTGCTAACAGTGTGTCCAAAACCTAGGACAGGGAGCCTCATCTTTTCTTAAGATACAATTTATATTCCACTCAGGCAGTGCCTGACAACCGTACTATTGTTTGGTGAAGGTATACAGTACACAATCCATAAAAGGTGTATATTGTTGTTATGGCTGTACCTTAAACTGGACCCTGAAGCTGTTGCCTAACAGCAACATCCAGGAGAGGCAGGTGGGGTGATGGAATAAGTTGGAGATTACAGGGCTGTTCACTGAGCGTCCGTGCAAAATAGATAACACACTGCTAAATAGAGAAACACATGTGTGTCACCAGAGGAGTCTTTAGTATGGTTTTATTTTCTGACAGGGTGATGGCGATGGATCACTGGCTCATAGACAAGTAGGAGAGATATGAGCTGGCCAAGCATTTCTGTTGTGTTATACCTACTGTTTGTATCCATGGTAACTGCACCATGGTCAGCTCCCCTGATTGCATGATAGTGCCGCCATCCTTGACAATACTGAGAATCTTTAAATGCTTTAGGAGCAGACTGCCCCATTTTGACTTTACTGCTGAAACAGAAGCAATGACTAAGTCTGTATAGACTGTGGTGTCATGAACGCAACCAGATTAGGTCAGATAGAGTAGTTTGGTTTAAACAAAATAGTGATTGTGGTTTTCATGGCAAATGGGGTTGGAGCTTTTGAATCTTCATGGAAACTGTCAAAGATTTTAGGTTTAGTTCAAATCAAAGCAATTTTTCAATATTGCACAAAAATTACAACATATACTTAAACTTGAGTTAAAGATGCTTTAAAGCAATTTAGTGTTGCACCTCCATTATGTTAGGAGGGTTGCAAGACAAATTAAAAACAGGATGGTCAAAATCAATGCAGCAGAGACCAAAATAATCATATTTTTAGTCCTTAATGTTGCTCAAGCTCACACACACACACACACACACACACACACACATACATATATATATATATATATATATGTACACACATATATGTGAACTTATAAAATACAGTGCACTTCCCCTGGCTAATCTACAGTAGGCAATGCTGCTCCTGCAATGAGTACAAGGCTGCTTACACAATAATGCATTACTAATAATAATCCAAGCTCTAGCTAATTAAATCACAGCTAGGAGTCATCATGTACTTAAACTTTTGATATTTTGAGTACATTTTGATACTTATGAACTTATAGCAACATTTGAATGTGGGGTTATTATTGCCAATATAGTATTTTTACATTGTGGGAAATTGTGAGCAATTTTCTGTCTTGACAAAGCTCCTTCAAAGACACACAAGATATTTCCAACTACTCTTACGGGTGAACATGAGAGCAGTTTATGGCAAATAAATTTACTTCAACATGCCTCTCTAAAGAAATACACCATATTTTTTGAGAGATGTATATATGCAGTATAGTCTCCATGCAGTAAATCATATCACCAAACATAGGAGTCATTCATTTTTCTGTCTGACCAGGACCTTTTTTTTGCTGTCTGTCTGTACTGCAGGTTTTGCATTTCACAAGTTGCTCAGATGTTGCTGCATCTAGGAAAATCACCACAACAAGCAAGTAAATATTCTGATGCTAAAAATATATGTGACTTACTCTATTTCTGGGACCTGAGTGTAATATCTTATAACATGGGACATCGATTGTAGCCGAGGATGATGTGCCTACTCAGGTATTCTCAGGCTCAAAATAAAGCTTGCTGATGCTATTTTGAAAGGATCATTTGAGAATATGTGTTAAATATACTTCTCTCTCTCTCTCTCACACACACACACATCCTTTATTCATTAACCTGAAATCTGACTTTTCTATAACCATCAGCATTTAGATGGGAATTAAACCAGACTGTGAAATATAAGCTCGAGTCAAACAGCACTTAGTGGAAGGACAGGCAAGGTCATGTATTATTGATGGTTAAAAATAAAAATGTAGCTTTCCTTTTAAATGTAAAATAGGTGTCTCTGCTGTTTTCAGTCATTATCTATGAAATATACCATTCTACAGTAATCTGTCTGTGGTTTACTGAAAACAAGACTAATTAGAGTGCTAACTACATGTGATACAAAAGACAGTAGATGCTGCCATCTACTGGAATACCTGTAACCTGAACGCATTGCATAGATGTAAATTCAAGAAAATAAAAATGAAATTAAAATGTCTAAGGAAAAGAAAATGTCAGCACAGAGCACCATGTACAGCAAAAACCACAAGTCCAATATACAACACACTAAATTTTCTTACATATCTAATGTGTTTGAACTGTGAATAAATGTTGTTTATTTTTCAATGCCTCTGTCATGCCTTGCTGTTTGTTGCAAATACCATGAGTACAAGAACAAACATTTTATTTGCTTGCCAAAGTGTGTAGACACATGTTGCAGACAAAAGGTTTGAATTAATTGATTCAAAACAATTCCAATGCTTAAACAAACAAAACAAAAATTACTGCTTGTAGTTTAGTATGTACTAACTTTTCTTTATACACCATAATCTGACTTTCAACATTGATCAGGCCCAAACCATTAAGTTCAATAAATGCTGTACATTTGCACCCAATTTAAAAATGTCCTTATCTAAAATCCAGTGTGAATAAAAACATTTTCAGAATCATTAGAATATTTACAATACTTTATTATATAGAAGGTAATTCTTCATTTGCCAGATCAGAAAAGAAACAAAAACAGAAGCACATGTATAGGAGCAAACAGGTGTAAGGACCTCCCGCCACATTAAAACCACAATTTTAGTTTATTGGCAGTATTAACCACAGGCAATCGAGTTTAAGCACCAAATAAAACTCAAGTTATTTACCAGCTGAGTGTGATCACAGTCCAGGTTGCTTCCCTCTGTCCCTTGCGCCTCCAGGTTACAATTCGGTTACTAATTACCTTGAACCCAGTACTGCCATGTACTTCTTTTATGAGTCAGAGTTTAAACATTTGCCTGAATGATGCCTCCTTCAGAAACACAAAGGTTCAGTACCTGGTATCCACAAGTAAGATATAAATGTTACTTCACATGAACATATAATATTAAATCAAGTGCTATTCTTTGTGTGTGCATTTTGTTGTATGGAAACAAATTTTATCCCTGCCATACCTCAACAAAAGCAAAACCCAAGGCTATTTAAGTGCGAATCAGAATGACACAAAGCTGGCATAACTCATTCAAGTGAGACACCGGGGCTTCTTTCAGGTATTTACATGTACGTGCTGGAGTGTGCCAATGTAAATATTAAAGTGCAGTTTCAGAGGTGAGCAGTAAATAACAGTGCACATTACCTCCGGGACAGCAGAAACACTTGGCCAGGAAATGTGACACCTCAGGCAGGATAAACTGTAATTTAATAGGGGTTAATATCTCAGAAGAGAACCTGAGACTTTAATTCCTTTTGTCATAGTCTAACAGACCACTTAAAGCAAACACAGCACTAATCCAATCCCGCCTCCAGTTGGGATTGTTGGACCACAAAGGATCTATGGCCACAAGGAGTGGGAATCCACCAATAAAATGTTGGATCATCAGGGAATCAAATGATGCTTGATGTCGGTGAGTCAGCAAAGAAGCTATGAAAGACGCTATTATGCAGACAGGAACGAACTGTACTAGTCAAACGACTTACCATTTCAATATAATAGCACTTTACAAGAGCTTGCTGGCAGATGATGTAGCAGCTTGTTACCTCAGCAACACTCGTTTTGCTTGAACAGTTATGGAGGTACAAGTACACACCCAACTTTTGAATTTTCATTCAAGTTTTAAAGCACTGTTTATATTAATATCACTAAAGAGCACATAGTCAAACAAACTTGCTGAACGTCATATTGCTTTATATCATCCCCTTTATTTTTCCCTAAAAACTGTTCCCCTGCTCCTCTCTACTGACCAGCAGAGAGAGGCATGCATATCACTGGCCATTGCATCTTCTCTACAAAGTAAATCAAATTCTCAGGACAAGCTACTATGAGGTAAAAATACACGATGTATTCACCGTTGTCTAAATGCGCTATTGTTTCTGCGACTTCAAGTCTCATTAAATGGAGGAACGAACCTTCCTTCCATTGAGAGGCTGAGGAGGTCTGAAGTTGTTTTCCATGTGTATCCTCTGATCCTCTTCCTCTTCAGTGAGCAGAAGCATTCTAAACTTGCTCAGCTGCATTGAGAGAAAGTCGTTTTTTTGTTTGTTTGTTTAAATGAAATTTTAAAGATTGCACCTTTATTTCACACTAGATACTACAAGCATGTTAAAGATTGGTTATATTCTGAATGTGGATCCTTGGTGCTTAGTGGTGCATAGCCCACCACTATGCAGGCCAGGAAAAATGGTCACACCTGGCTGATCAGCTGCAGCATCAGAGCTGAGTTCCACTGGCTAAAACATGCCAGTTCTGTCTCCAAACTACTGAGTGTCAAAAGCTGAAAAAGTAATTTCAGGGTTTTTTTGTTTTTTATATATATAAAAAAAACTACACTTTACAAATTACATCGAGATGGGAGGAATAGTTACAGATCAACATGCATGCACAGTGAGGGCTCACTGCTTGCTTGCATTCAAGATATAGTAACTGTATTAGGGTCAATGCTGGGTGGCATTCATCTAGTTTATGGTAAATATTCCACACCAACACCAATGGAGCCTGGCCTTCTGAACATCACTATAATGTCAGTACATTTTAGATAATTTTCTATTTTCACAGCTCTCAGATTACAAAGAAACCACAAACAAAATAAGTATCCTCCATACCTCAAGATGGATGAAATACACTATGTGATCAAAGGAGCATGTTTGCAACACAAACCTGCTTTTCAGACACCATAATTGGCTCCCTAAGGATGATCCAGACGACACTCTCATATAGAGGTGGTGTGGTCAGTGATCCCAGGTAGGTCCAATAGTCGAGGCTGCTAGGTAGGAGGCACATGGGGTTGAAACCTTCAAAATCTGTGACACTGCCCTGTAATAAAGACACAGACAGGAACTTTTATACCACTTAAATAATGCCAATAGTAGGTCATAAACATTTTATGCAATAAAATCCACTAACAATCAGCAATAATACTCACCTTAAATTTCACCATGTACAGAGCATCCGTTATCATGTTGAGCCATCTGTGGTCATCACCTGTCTAATGTAAGATTATTTATGAAGTACAGTGTACACTTTTGGAAATATCCACATTGCTTTATACACTTGGTAAAATATCCCACGTCTTCATTAATGTTGAAGCCGACGTATCAAAAATGTAGGTTATACCACCACAGCACTGGTGGAGAATTTACTGTAAATACAAGTATTTACAATTATTTTATTGACAATCCCATTTCTGCTCTCTGTTGTAACAGTAAGCATTTGATTTTCAGCTTTACACAACTAAGGCATACCACATACACGGCTTTGTGAGTGATAACATTTCCCACTAGCTTCTCAATCAACCACTCTCCCCATTTTAGGATTTTTTTTAGCAACTTATATTGTGATGCAAATCAAAATGGTAATTCAGCACCATGCTAAGAAGAACTAAATGTACAAGTATGTACCCAAAGATGATGTTAATGGTGCAAAACCTCAAATGAAAATAAAATTAAGAATGAGCAGAGAACTGCTGGACTACACTCATTCTGACTTTGCTTCAGCTGTGAAAAACTAATAGAAAATGACAAAGAAGAGGGGCACAGAAAAAAGAAACTGAAAATCACCTTACTTCTAAAAAGATACCAAGAACAGCAAGGCCATCAGGAGCTGTTGCTGCCTCCTCAAATGTTCCATATTTGACAGCATTCCAGTGCACTAAGTGAAGCTTGGGGGGGATAAGATAAAAGAAACATACAAAAACAGAATCACCTTTAAAAAATAGGCTTTTATAGTTAAATTAAGTCAAGCAATGCATGCCACATTACAGTCATCCTAGTGTACTAATGAAATGTATATTTAAATCCCCCCCGTGTAACAGAAAACACATGAAGTCTAAATGTAGGTATAATAGCTGCCTCCAACTAAACAAGTAAATATCACATGGAAAACAGCTGAATAAGAGAACACAACAACACAGGAAAGGTAACTGACTCAGGAAAATACAGAAATGGAGGTAATGAGGCTAACTCGGGTAAGTACAAAGTAGATAACATGAAAACAGGTATGTATAATGGCAAGATAAATAAGAGTGTCTTTGGAGCATACAAACTAAATAGAGTTGGGAGCCGGCTAATCTGAGTTCACAGTAGCCCAGACAGTTCATATCGACATGGGCAGGCAGGGGAAACAGTTCCAACAGATAAATCAAACCAGGGAGTGACCAGAGTCAATGAGAAAAAGTAGGAAGCTAAGAACAGGTTACTGACCAGAAAGCTAGAAAAAACAAGCATCCCTACACAGGTAAATCCAAGAATAAAAACTGCAGATAAACAGGGTCCAGGTGGCCATGGTAGTAAACAGGTCAAAACAAGCAGAAAGAACAAATGCTGAGAGTTACATGAAACTAATTCTTTGACAACAATCTGGCAAAAAGTGAATGCAGAAAGCTGGCTTTTCTGCTGGCTGATTATTTGCACAGAATGAGAAAAGTGAGTGTAAGTGGAGCTGGACAGAGCAGACAATGATAGTGGGACATAGACAAAAGGTAAGAAACTGGGTAGACAATGGCAGGAGAAACATGATGCAGAGACGGGAAAAGACTGAAACCAAGACATATTTCCCACGAATATATCTGCAGTCTGTTCTCAGGCATATAATGCTTATGATCTCTTTGAAATAGGACTGAAAGCAGGGATGACATTGTTCAAATCTACAGTATATAAGAATTGTATTGGGACATTCACATTTTTAGAATCAAAGCTGTATTTGATTTTATTTCATACCAAAACATGCTAGCACAAATACCTTGCCAAAAAATTATTAACTTTATCAGACAGTGAAGTACTGAAATCCCAACCACTCACCTCAGATGCATAGCTATTTCCTGCAACAGTGTGCTCTGAACCATGGCAGCCTTTTCCACCCCAGTGGAAGTGAAACTGTTTAAGTTTGTATGGGTTGTCAAGAGGACCTCCCTGAATCACTGTAGAAGATGAGAGGAGATGTGAAAAAAAAGGTTTGACATTCACATTCACACACACATTCACACACACACACACGCTCTATGGAAGCAGCTTTCCAGCAGAGTACTGCACAGAGCATCCTGTGTGTAGCACCATGCAAAGAGCTTGGTGCCACCACAGGGCACAAACAGTCCCAAACAATACAGGGTGAGTCAACCCAATAGATTTCATCACATTTAAGTTAAAATTTAAATTAAGCCAATTTCATTCAACACCAAGGCATGAGCATGAACAAGTAAACTGCCTGCTTTGCCAAAAAAATAAACAAAAATCTGAGCTATGTAGCACAAGCTTTAATTTAACACAAATAGCCAATCAGATGCCAAATAAATCTACTTAAGTTTTGTTTGACTTTTTATTCATGACTATTGATGAACAAGGATTAATAGAAACTTTAACATTCAACCCATTATCACAACAGTACAGACTGATTTCTGAGCCTGTGGCCTGCACTGCCGACTATGGACTTCTGCACTAGTCTAATCTGATTGTTATATTCATTGTGATGCTCCTGACATCCTTGTGACAAGCATGTCACATCAGCGCAGGTCAGATTAGCTAGGCAGAAATGTGACAAATAGCAAAGCGCTCATCTTGTCCATCCTAAAACACAAAATGTAGGATGACTACAAGAATGTTATTTTTAAAAAGGTGATAAACCAACAACAGAAGGTTCAGGGGATTTGTACATTTCATTTGAACTATGATGAAATCCAGTGGAAGTGCATTAGTTTCCCTAGACTTATCCTTGATCCTTCAGCAATTATTTTCAGTGATTTGTTTGCTCCCTGGAAACTGTCTGAGTCAGACAGCTTCACATTTTTTTATAATGACAGGGTGGTTAATATGGATCCACCCAATGATAAAAGCAAACAGTCATATAAGTATTGAGAACACCTAAGGTTATTATATCTCTTGTCCAGCAGACAGATACTCATATAGTTAACTGCTGGCTGCACTTTCCTCCAACATAATCAGAGGTTTATTTGTAACCTTTGATTATGGACAGTTATGCACATGATTTGCACTTTGCAAAAATCAAGCTAATCCCAGCTTTCAAGCATGTGTTTAGTGAAAGTAAACTTTTAGCACAGATTTCCACTGCATCTGTGCTGACAGCACAAACCAGAGTCAAAGTCTTTAGTGGCCAAGCATGATTGGACATGAGGAATTTGACAGAATGTGCTTTGTAAGGCAACAATAAATAAAAATGAAAAATAAAACATGGTGTAATCAAACAGCAAAAATGTACATTTCTTGATTGCACAATCAGTAGGAGAAAGAATGGGAGGATAAATAGGAGAAAGAAGAGACACGATATATACACTTCAGGCAGAAACGCTTCCAAATTGTACAGTGGTTATATTTACAGTTTACTGGTTATATCATATATAATGGTTGTATTACAGTTTGTGTCAAAGCTATGGTCATCCCTAAGCTGAGACCTTTGACGATTATTGCATGGCACAATTCTTCACAGTCACAGGTCGTGTCATTTCAATGCATATAGTCCATGCTAAGATAAAACTCTCTGGTTTGCTTCTTTTATTTTCTAAGCTGTAACCTATGTGGTGCAGAACTATTGGATTGTTTAGATCTAATACCAGAACAAATCTGAACTTCTGAACTGACTGGTTGCTGTGATACTTTTGCTTTCCACACAAACCACACAAACATCTGAAATAACAAGTAAGACAAATTTTTTCCTCACCTACACGGTCATCAGTGTCATCAAACTCCACAATTACAGAGTGTCCATTATTGGCAATGTTCATGGAGGTACAGTGATCATAGTTTAGGACAATTGGGCCCAAACTGGGGTCACAGGAAGCCTGATGAGGGACGATGTCAATGGGAGACTGCCGGTTCCCTTGGGCAATGGGGTAGGTTTTGTGCCATACAGAGGGACCTTATCATATAAACACACAGTCAGCAATAAAGAGAGCACTTTTAAGTTTTTAATATGCCTAAAGCTCTATGGAGTGATGATCAAATGTGGATTAAACAAAAACAGAATTCAATGGGTTAACTGAAAAGGAAAATACTACATTTTTTTTCCAAAACTATATTATAAATCTTTAGTTTTTAAATTTACACAGCTGATTCTGCTAAAACCACATAAACTACACTAACTCCTCAAGGTCAGCTTGTAGCTAGGACCATCAGCATAAAACCCCAAGAATAAAAAAAGTAACAAGTGAAACCAGGACTTGTCCACACTAAACAGTGGTTAAATAGGGTAAATTGTCTTGAAAACATTTTTTGGCCAAGAGATTAATTAATGTTTCTCACACAACAACCAGAAGAAAACTAAGTAGAAAAGCAGGTTAAGGTGACAGCAGTAATCCCTTTAAGCATGGGGCAAATTTCGCACTAACAACCATCTTAACATCCGCGTCACCCTTCTGGATAAAACAACACGAAATAACAGTAAACATTAATTGTAGGATAGAGGGGGAAGTTCCTCCACTATGCAGTAAGGACTCTGCCTGGAGCTGGTTTAAGATCTTACCGTCCTCTATTCCATATCCCCAGTGATCCCCTGTCATTATCCCTGTTTGCGGATTAAAGTCTGTCCAAGCTGTCGGTACGTGTTCCCTGCACAGGTTGATGAGGAGAAACGGATAACAGCCGGTGCAGCTATTGATTAAATTTATGTAGTGGCTAGAGGGGCAGAGCAATTATTCCTTCCATGACACGCCCCTACACCGCTTCAACCCCACCCACTCAAGGACACACGTGCGCGCACACAGTCAAATGTTTGATGTACTAAGCTGATCTTAACCAATAGTCTACTGTCCGCCTTTTCGGATTCAATGATTTCAGTAAGACATAATTTCACTATCAATGTCAGCGTCTTATATCATGCAAGAGTTATGGGGTAAAGTGCAACATGCTTGTATGTCAATATGAGTCTTGACCTTATAGTTTTTATGTTGCAGAACAGAGCAAATACTGACACTGAGCTCCTACAATTAACAGTGATGGTTCTAGAAACGTTGTTGACGTGACTGATATTGTTGACATTTTGGACCCACGGGTGTTTTCTCCAAGGTAATAATTAGACAGGGCAGGGTAGGAATTGAAGCACACAACTCTAAAACACATTAAAACACCGCAAAATGCTTTACAGGGTTAAAAAAGACAAACCTGGTGCAGCACAGTATAGGTAGCCTATACACATATGTAGCAGATGGAAAAAAGTACATTTGTCTCTAAATTTTAATGGAAAATCAGTAGACTATAAAGTAGCAAAAAATACAAATTCTCAATAAAGTGTCTGAAAAAATACAGTGTTGAGAGTAAATGTAGTTATTCGATGTAAGGGCATCACAGTGAGAACTTTTATCGAAAGTGCGAGTCAGAATTTTTGCGTCGGCATGTACCTATGTGCCGAATGTGCCAGTGAGGAAGTTAAGATGCATCCGGCGGTCCATAGACATCATTCATTGGAAAGAGACCATGGCAGCCACCAAAACCTCTAAAGAACAGAAATACGACAGACAGCTCAGGTATATTTAAGAAAGACCATAGACGTTATAAAAGTGTTGAGATTCATTTAGCTGAATGTTTGGGCATTGTGCGTGATACGTCACCGCTGAAACATTGATCAGACAAGAAGGGTAACGTTAGCTAGCGTTAGCTTGCTATGTGCCTTATAGTTAAATCATCAATTAACAGCGTTCGCTGTTAGGTTAATGGGATGGGTTGGTGTTTTGTTTGTCCAGCAAAATTGCCAGCTTGTGTACTGACCTTATATACGCTGATCTGTTTGATAGTTAAACGACTGTAACAAGAGGGTAGTCAATGCTAATGAAGCATCCGTACCACTAGCTAAGTCATTATCGCGAAGGGGCTAAACTTACTGTTTTACAGCGGTGGAGGATGCGTTGTGTCAATGCATGACAACACATGTCCATGTTCTGTTGTGTGTTTTCAGACTGTGGGGTGACCATGGTCAAGAAACACTGGAGAATGCACACGTTTGTCTCATCAACGCCATAGCAACTGGGACAGAGATACTGAAGAACCTTGTACTTCCAGGTAAACAGACGTGGCTCTGTGCTGACCACAATGTTGCAGGTACTGATGAAAGCATCATTCTGATTGAGTTATGTCCTTATCAGGTATTGGAGCATTCACAATAGTTGATGGAAACACAGTTTCTGGGGAAGATGTTGGAAACAAGTAAGATATCTGTTTTAGTTTTATTTATTTGTTTATTTTAAGCTGAGTTCAACTTAAAACAACAATGTTATTTTACTCGTGTGTTCATGGTAGACCTCTTGATCTTGTCTTGCAGCTTTTTCCTTAGCAGTGACAGCATTGGAAAGGTATGCTTCTCAGAAATAGAATTATTGTTTTGTAATCATATGTCCCTGAGATCTTTTGAAGGTGCTTTGCTACCCATAGTAGACTTTGCTTTCACTAACAAGCACACGTACCGCTCTAGGAATGGCTTCCTTTATTCTGAACTAATTGAAATCATTACAGTTGATCACTGGTGACCTAGAACGTGATTACTTACTGACTGAGTTTTACAAGTGCTTCTCTGGTCCTTTCTGATGCAATTTGTTTTGTCACTTTTATGTAAGCTGCACTGAGTAAATAAAGCTTAGAAATTCAGTTTTTTGTATTTTCATTTCATGCTGTGAAACAACAAAATGTGAATGTTTTGAAAGAAGGTGATTCTTTTCTATGCCCACTGTATTTCTAAATCTTTCCCCCATTGGCTTCATGCATCTGCATCTCTTCTCTGTGCTTATTCACAGTTGTTTTAAATTCTCTTACTAGGGAAAAACTGCAGTGTATCTGACTGTTTGTATGATCCCTGACATTAGTTTTTATGTTGCAGAACAGAGCACAGGCTGCCACTGAGCTGCTACAAGAACTTAACAGTGATGTCTCTGGGAACTTTGTTGAGGAGGTTGGTGGTGTTCATGTTTTGGTGCTACGGATGTTTTCACCACACAAATAATGTATCGTAGGGATCGAAACACAAATCTTTTTCATAGTTATAACAAAAAAAAAAAAAACACTGGAAAATGTTATACACATTTGAAAAGACAAATCCAGTGCAGATTCAGTACAACTGTAAAAGATGTTTAGAATGTTCAGCTTTCATTACATAAAAGTAAGTTTATGAGTACAACATATAGTGTGCAATTATGTAAATATATTGATCATTGTCATCAATTTGATAGTCTTGAATTTTCTGTCACTCCTGCAGAGTCCAGACAAGCTTCTGGATGACAATCCAGAGTTTTTTCACAGGTTTACCATAGTCATCGGAGTCCAGTTACCAGAAAGGTATGAGGCATAGAGACATCTTTGTTCTCACAATTTATTGTAACAAAAGTGTTAATGAGAAATTATATAGCAGCCTATAGCATGCTGAATTAGGATTTTCAGTATTATCTGGAATGAAATATCTAAACGCTGTGTAGTCAGTCATGGATGAAACCTTTCTGCCTGGGCTTGATTTAAAAAATATGATAAAGTCTGCATACACATGGTGAAAGTGTGAGTGCGTTCCCTGTGTTTTCATATAGGCCCTTGGTGGCTCTAATCCAGCCAGAGATGACAATGTGTTGCTGCTCATTTATTGTAACTGGCAAAGAGATTGATTCCTTTTACAGAAACTTGATTTACCATTGTTTTATTTTTTGTGCATCTAACTTCTCAAATTATTTCTGAATTTTTACAGCACATGTTTGAGGTTGGGCTCAGTTCTGTGGCATGCCTCTGTACCTTTCCTAGTGTGTAAAACCTACGGCTTCATTGGCTACATGAGACTAGTGGTGCAGGAGCATACAGGTTAGTTGTCCAGCATTTAATTTGAATTTACTCTATTTTAATAAGTGAATTAAATTTTTAAATAACTCATGAACCCATGAAATTGCAAATGCATTACTGTGATTTGTTACTTACTGACATCTTATCTAACTGTATTCGCACATTGTGACACATGGCCCTTTTACCGTGGTTGTTTTAATATAGAGTGTACTGACGATTTACCACCTCTCTTGTAAGTGATTGAATCTCACCCTGACAATGCCTTGGAGGATCTGAGGTTAGACCAGCCTTTTGCTGAGTTCAAGAGCCACATTCAGTCTTATGACCTTGACAGCATGGACAAGAAGGTGTGTACTTTGGTGTAAGCACAACAGTCAATTTAAACTATGCTAGCTCTGCGCTACTGATGGTACTTCTTCCTATTCTTTATTGAATCTGTAGGATCACAGTCACACACCATGGATCATCATTGTTGCTAAATACCTGGAGAAATGGCTCAGCGAGGTAAAGTACATTGATATTTTTTCACTGTTATTTATTCTTGAGTGTTATTGTTGGTTTTGCTGTACATTAAAATGTCACTCTACTTCTATTTTTGTAGCATAACTGCCAGCCACCAAAAAATTACAAGGAGAAAGAGGCCTTCAGACAGTTTATTCGGGAAGGTATCTGTGGACCCCTGGACTGGAGTTGCCTTATATGTTCTGTGACTTTGCTGTGTACCTCAGACTGATGTAAATATTCATTTTGTGTTCCTTCAGGGATCCTGAAGAATGAGAATGGCATCCCAGAAGATGAAGAAAACTTTGAAGAAGCTATTAAGAATGTCAATACTGCTTTAAATCCAACCAAGGTGCCAGCTCTCAAATACTCTTAGGTTTTTAAGAATTATCTTGTGTCCCATAAAACTTATCTCACTTTATAAAGCACCAACCAGTCTGTTTTGTTTTTGTAGTGTTAAAACTGCCTTGTTTTGCAGATTCCTAGTGCTGTTGAAGACCTCTTCAACAATGAGCAGTGTAACAACATCACATCACAGGTTTTGACTGTTTTCCTAAAATCGTTCAATAGAAATACATCCACAGTTGTATCATAATACATTTCAAAGTAGCTTTTAACTATGGAATGTATACTGATGGTGTGTGTTTATCAGACCCCATCCTTCTGGGTCATGCTGCGAGCTGTCAAGGAATTTGTTCACAACGAAGGCAACGGAAGCCTGCCCCTCCGGGGAACCATCCCTGATATGATTGCAGACTCTCAGAAGTTCATCAACCTTCAGAATGTGTAAGAGTGCAATAATGTAGGCAACATACCTGGCCAACAGAAATGTTCTTGAACACATCTTTGATTCAGCAGTAGATCCCTTTATAACAGTGCATGATTTAATTGCATAGGTCTCTCTCTGTTCACTGAGTGCTTTTCATTTCAGATACAGGAAAAAGGCCATTCAGGATGTGGCAGGTGTTTCTAAACATGTAGAAAGTCTGTTGCAGTCTGTTGGAAAGGTATGTTTTCAGTTTCCACTGTGCTCAAAATAAATGTGTAATAGGTCAGATGAATTACAGCAGATACTCTCAACCCACTGTGACAATATTGCTGTCACAACCATTATAAGGCTGACAGTCAGCTACTTGGAGGGTTAATATAGGGATATCTGTTTTCCCATCTTTGTGTCTTCAATGTGGCTGTGTCAGTTTTGTATGCCGCCATGGTAGGATAAAATTTTATTACATTTTTCCCCATAATACTCAATTTATGGTTGAATATGTTTTACTTAAAATGCATTTTTATAAAATTGAAATTCTAATGAAATTCTTGTTTTTTTTTTTCCATTAGCCACCAGAGAGCATCTCTGAAAATGACATCAAACTGTTCTGTAAGTAACCTGTACTTTAATCAACAAATCTTACCCTCATGCATTTATGTTCAGTGAGTATACTGACATGCACACAAATCTGAACTTCAGTAATAAAAGGCTTTCCAAGTATAGAGGTATGTTTTCAAATACAGTCGTGAAAAAATTAGGACACCCTTTGAAAGCATGTGTATTTTGTAACATGTTTTAATATATGGTTATTTAGTCTCAATTTTAACAATACAGAGATTAAAGTAATACAACTAAACAAGTAAAACTGAAGAAAAGTCTTTTGAAGATCTTCTGTAAATGTAATTCTACAAAAATGCCTATTCTAACTGAGGAAAAAGATAGCACACCCTAGCCCCTAATAGCTAGTGTTACCTCCTTTGGCTGAAATAACTGCAGTGAGACGGTTCTTGTAGCCATCTACCAGTCTCTGACATCGATCTGAGGGAATTTTACCCCACTCCTCAATGCAGAATTGTTTCAGCTGTGAGATGTTTGAGGGGTTTCTTGCATGTACAGCCCTTTTCAAGTCACCCCACAGCATCTCAATGGGATTCAGGTCTGGACTTTGACTCGGCCATTCCAGGACTCTCCATTTCTTCTTTTTCAGCCAGTCTTTGGTTGATTTACTAGTATGTTTTGGGTCATTGTCATGTTGCATGGTCCAGTTCCGCTTCAGCTTTAATTTTCTAACCGATGGTCTCACATGTTCTTCAAGCACCTTCTGATACACAGTAGAATTCATGGTGGATTCTATGATGGTGAGCTGACCAGGTCCTGCTGCAGCAAAGCAGCCCCAAACCATGACACTTCCACCTCCATGCTTCACAGTTGGTATGAGGTTCTTTTCCTGGAATGCTGTGTTTGGTTTACGCCAAACATGTCCTCTGCTCTGGTGTCCAAATAATTCAATTTTGGACTCATCTGTCCAAAGAACATTATTCCAGAAGTCCTGGTCTTTGTCAACATTCTCTCTGGCAAATGTCAGTCTGGCCTTGATGTTTCTCTTAGAGAGCAAAGGTTTCCTCCTTGCACACCTCCCATGCAAGTTAAACTTGTGCAGTCTCTTTCTGATTGTAGAGGCATGCACTTCTACATCAACAGTAGCCAGAGCCTGCTGTAGGTCTCGAGATGACATTTTAGGGTTTTTGGAGACCTCTTTTAGCATCTTGCGGTCTGCTCTTGGTGTGAACTTGCTGGGGCGACCAGACCTGGGCATGTTGGCAGTTGTTTTGAAAGCCCTCCACTTAGTTGCATAATGGCTGAAAAATGTCTTTACTTCACATAATACAGCCTTGCACCATATAGTCATCAGTTAATTCCTGTCATTAATTTAGCAGCACTTGAAAGTGCTGCATGTCGCCATCATGCAGCAGTGCTGCCTTTTTCATTTCTCTAAGCAGAGAGCTGTTAAGATTTGTAGTTCTGCTGCTCTGTTAGTGACTAAATGCTGCACCTGCAATAGGTTTATTGCTAACTGTAGGCATTTGTGTTGATCTCAAGGTAAGAATGCATCCTTCCTGAGGGTGGTGCGCTGCAGATCTCTGGCTGAAGAATATAGTGTGGATTCAGTAAATAAAGATGAGATCAGTGAGTTTCTGTTCAAACTGTTGTTCATTGTCATTTCCTGCATTTGAGCTAACTCTTGTACTATTTTCTGTTCTGGTAAGTATAAAGCATATTCACCAGATAACAATAGCTATGTCTTCTCAGCTTCATGCATGGACAGTCCAGACAGCGAGATGGTTTTCTACCTCATGCTTCGTGCCGTTGATCGCTTCTATCAGCGGCACTCTCGCTACCCAGGTATGGCAAGTTTGATGAAGATTTTTCTTTAAAGAACTGGATGAGATATGAAACGCCACTATGTAATTTACTTGAAACAGTTTCCCCAATAATGTTATTTTTGTTTTTAGTAAGTTTTTTTTCTACAAGGGACATCTCTGACAAGTGTATCAAGAAAACACCTTCTGTGCTGTCACATAGAGGAAAGGCTTAGGATTTTACACTATACTGTACATAGCATAGTCTGACTCTTACTCTGCAAGAAATGTCAATTGTTCCTCCTAAGGCCTCTCCTCTCTCATCAGGTGTTTACCAAGTGGAGGAGGACATCAGCAGACTGAAGCTCTGTGTGAACAGCTTACTGCAGGAGTACAGCCTCAATGTCAACATAAAAGATGATTATATCCATGAGTTGTAAGTGCTGTTCACTGCTGAGTTTACTGCTTGGAGTGATTGTTAAACTAAATTGTCATTAACCTTGTTTTTTTTTCTTTTTACTCTTTACTTTTTATCATAACCTGCAGCTGTCGGTATGGCGCAGCAGAACCACACACGGTTGCTGCATTTTTGGGAGGTAAAGTTTTAGCACTCTTGGCACTCTCAGCCAAATATGGCTAACAAATTGAAAATTTGTATTAATGTTTGTTAATATCTTTGTTTAGGATCAGCTGCTCAAGAGGCCGTCAAGCTCATCAGCCACCAGTTTGTGCCCTTTAACAACACTTTCATTTACAACGCGATGTCACAGACCTCGGCCACCTTACACTTGTGAATGCAGTGACTGATCCTGAGTTTGCTTACAGAAATATTACGGAGAAAATAGAGCAAGACTGAAAGAGGCATTTACCGCAACCTTTAATAAATCCAAACTGTACACTGCAGTTCAGGTTTTGAAAGAGGACTGCACATTTCAATGGGACTGCTACATAAATGTCTGCACTTAAACCTAAAAATGTTTCTCATAGAGAAGATAAAAAGTTTGACCAAATTTTCTGTCAGTAAAGCCTTGCCTGGGTCTCAGAAGTTCTTGAGGATGAGTAAATCAGCATAGTACCCACAGGGGATTTTTTTTGTCAAAGTGCAAAATGAAACGTATTTAAAACCTTTATGGAGTTTTTTCTTTTGTTTTTGTTTTTTTTTTTAACCTATGAAGCTCAAACATTTACACAATATATTACACTGTCTTTTATTGTATTGTGTTTTGAACAAGGTGGAAGATTTTTGGTTAAAATGAAAACTGAAAATGTGTAGTGTTGAACTCGTGTTTTGCCATGAAAACATTCAGCATTTTATTGGTATTTATTTTAATGTTGACGGGGAAGTTAACACACATTCAGTACATTTGCAGTGTGCAAACAGTTTACCCCCTAGCTCATCATTTGCCTGTGCTCCCGAAGGTTAAACACTTTGAATTAAGCAGCAGAGACTTGTTGGAATGTTTAGTAGTTAGAAACTTCGGTTACGGTCATTTAGCTAAAATATACCGATTGTTATATGACGAGCGTGTGAACTTTCTGAGATGCCTGAAATGTGACTTGTTTTGCAAGATTCATATGCATCCCAGGTTAAAATGAGTTTTGTTTAGTGGATGACATTTATCCAACACTAGAGGGCACTCTTTCACTTTTTGTCATTCATAGGTCAACACATTTCCAAGTTTGTTTCACAAGGCTGTTCAGTGACCAGTCCCTCAATGCTGAGCTTTGGCTTCAGACTGCATTCGATATAATCAGCTGTAGAATGTTACCAAAAACTTCTTTCTTATGTTGCCTCCGTAGCAGTCAAGATGCCTTGAAATGTAGAGGACTCTGTTTTTGTAATGAGTATGATCTAATAAGCACCACTGAGTTCTGTTAGAGAACTAGGTTATTGTGATGTAACTGTTGGGCAGGATGAAGAATTTTGCTTGTTGCTTTTTATCAGACTTTGGTAGGATGGGAGTTTGCTTTCAGCAGATCTTTTCCTTGTAAGATTCCATCCAGCCCCTGTCACCTCAGCTCTCCCCTGTACTGTATGTCTCATTTTCAGACCCCCCCCCCTTCATCTCCCTCTGTCTGAGAAGGATAGAGCAGGCTGCCAAGAAGTACTTTGGCCATTTCCTAAATTAAGAGTTTGTCCACTCCTGCCCATCTATCCACCCACTGCCTCTTAAGATTATCATGGTGTAGCAGTGCCAGGTTTTGTAGGCCAAACCAGACAGTTTTCCTTTGTGTAATGTCAGAGATACAGATACAGCCCACTAACATTTAGCAAAAACCGACTTAAGTTTATACTATACATAAAGTTATCAGATGTAAAATAGTTCAAATATATGCTTCTGCAACAAGTACTGTGCTGTATGGTTTCAAATGTGCCAGCCTGCTAGGTTTTTGTTCCAGCTTTCAGTGTGTCCACCTTCTGAATAAAGATAACACTAAGGGAGTGGAGCAGTGTGTCTCATTGGTAAGTTGCATTAGACATTTATGCTGGATGATCTTGTGTTGCATTTATCTGACATACTTGTTTGTTTTTTTAAGCTAAGTTCTGAATTTACACTTTTAAAATCCCCTTTGCAGTCATTAACCTGCTAATCATTGATTAACTACCCTAGTTAACTTTTGTCCAGCAGAGAGACTTGCAGACAGCACAGAGGGGAAATAAGGTCAGTCACTAACAAACAGGTTGGAGCTCAGTAGCTACAGTACTATGTTCCTCTTAAACAGCACATTTTGTGGCAAACCAGTGAAAGCCTTAAAGATTACCAAGATGGAACCATATGGCCAAACACAATTTGTATTAAAGTGAGTCTATGAAACTTTTGCTAAACAGCAGTGTGTATGTCCATAAGAGACAAAACAGCATAATATATAAAATCCAAAACTGGTGGGTTGAGAAAATTTATGAAGTCAACTTAGTAAAGTTAATTCCACAGCATCTGTCAAAAGTTTGCTAACATTAACCACAAACTTCTGCCAGGTGGAGTAAGACTAGCTGTAAAATCCTGAGTGAAAAGCATAGCTGTCAGGTGCAGCTGTAAAATCCTGAGTGAAAAGCATAGGTTTGTTTTGATGCTCAGGAACTACTTTTCATTTGTTGAAAAAAGTTGAAAAGTTGCATTAATCGTTTTTTAGCCACGTGGGGGCAGCAAAAACAGTTGTGAACACATTGACACGATCATCACAATTTTTTTAAGTTGGTATGTCAAGCAGCAGCTAATTTGTACATCACTTCAAGAGAACATTAATTTGAAATCAGGTTATATGGTCATTTGGTGAATGTTCAATCTTGGCTCTGGTTTTGATCTCCACCAACTCCTGGTATCTCACTTTTTAGGTGTTAAATGCTCCACTGTAAACAGCGAAGTTGAAGTTGTCATAAAACTTTATAAAAGCCAAGTGAAGCTGCAGTTTCAGGTGATAATACTCTGTAGACTAATTAGGCGACAACCCCTTTCACATTGTTACTTTGTTTTCACATTGACATTTCATGCATTGCTATTATAAAAATGTGTATCATAGCCTCTTTAAGGAGAGATTACTATCCCCTACTCTAATCTTTAACATCAGATAATAGCACTATCACTACAACCAAACCAACTTAATGATTTGTCACCTAAGTATGCCATTGTATGAATGATTTTAGCCTCATAAACAGGTGATAACTGTACGTGTGAGAAATTCACCTTTTTCACACTTCCAGGCACAAATAAGCACCTTGCCTTCTCTGCTGCATCCACTGTTATGTATATACTGTATTATCAAGACTTCAGCTGTGAGGCTGAGCTTGTAACTGCTTTATCTTGAAGCCACAGGAGAGGCTTGACAATGAATATGTGTGTGTGTGCTCACTTGTGTGTCTATGCGTTTGGAGGAGCTCAGAGGAGGGGCTGGTCGTTAATGCTAAAATCAATCAGTAAATCAGACGCACCGCCTGCAGAAGGGCCATAATGCCAACAATGATTCTCACTGGAAGATTCAAGCAATAAAGAAGGGTTGGGGGGGCTGGATGAGTCAGCTTAGGGAAATGAAGGACATTGCACAGTATGGGTGGCAGATTGGTGGTGAGGTAGAGGTTGTATGTCTCTTTGGCAAAAATGCTTGCATTTCACTTCATGAACATTGTCAGAGAGACGACTGAAGGGAGTAAGAAGCAAAAGCATGAGGAAGTTGAGGTTGATATTGTTTGGCATGACTTATTCTGAGCCATTAGTTTGAGCTATTTACCTGGTTGAGGTCCAGCTAGTTCACCTCCTCACAAAGCCCAAGATGAATTAAGAACGGCCTGCCAAAGTCGAGCGGACTGTTCAGTATGTTTGCTGGGAGACTGCAGGAGGTCAGCATACTTTAAACCTCTTAGGGGTTTGCTGAGGGCCTCTCCATTTTTCCTACAAACAGATGGAGCTGTGACTAAGGAATGCATACAGTATGTACAACACACAGGACCCCGATGGAAATAAAGAAAACACCAGATTAAAAGAAACACTGGTCCCCAAGCCAGCGCTCTCATGACTCTAAAGCCAAACAATAAAATTTACAAATGACTTGCCTGAATAAACCAAGATATGTGCATTCAAGGATTTTACAGCTGGTCTATAGGATTTCTGATTTGTACTGTACACTTAACAACAGTGGAGTTTAAGGCAGCTGGAGTCTAGGAGGGTTGAGCTGTCCTGACTGCCTTAATGGTTATACTTTCCAGATGCATTGTTAATGAGATCATGTAACACAGAGACACAAATGGTAGTCAGTATACGATCCACTGATAGAAAAGATGTAAATTTGACCTATGTTTGAAGGTATTTAAAGACTAATCCACCTCTCTTCCACTTACACTCGGCATAAATGCAGTTGAATGCAAATGTGAAGCAAACTCAGCTTACTGAACATTGGAATCAGATCATTTGAGCTGGAATGGTCAAAAAACCTCCTTATTAAGATAACCATAATAGCACAGAGCGCCGTTAATCAGTACAGTCTAATTAATTCCAGATGTATCATCTAAATGTTCTGCTTTAAGAGAACTGAGCTGAGAAAAAGACTAATGCTTTGTGACAGTCAACTAAATATGATACAGAACTGAATTCATTTTAATAAAAACAGGCATTGTCAGATAATATATTCAGCTGTTTGTGATCAACATTTTAATGGATATTTACTGCAGAATATTATATAAAACAAAGAAAAATAGACTATGCCGAAAGCTGGGGTGAAATGTAGATATCCTACCAACAATACTTCCACATAACCATCCCAAACGTGATTGAGCGATTAGTACCTGTGTGCAAATAATGGGCAAATGTATAACATATCCCACATGCAGGCACTGTGAGATAACAGTGATGTAATGTGAATGCAGGAGCGTCATAGACTGAACTGGCATTTTATAAGACAGAGGGAGAAAAAATACATTTGTGAGTTTGGCTGCAGTCAACCTTTGCTTTGACCCAGTGAGGTTTGAAACACTATGGGATAACTGACCTGTTTCATTCAGGACATATTGCCACATTGCTGTAAGAAAAGCACGGGAATAAACAATAAAGTTAATGATGAATGAATTCCATCTAGCTCCCAGCATCGTTCATGCTGGCTCACTGTTATGACTAAAAGTTGAATGTGACACAGCCATTGTTAATGTTATTAACACCTGTCATTTTCCTTCTATGAGAAGTCAAAACATCTGCTGTGAAAGATGTCTAATTGCGTCAAATGTCAGCTGCATTGATGCCTTAAACCTTACACTGATTCAGGAATATCTTTTGGGGTCATACACCTCATGATGTGTGCGATTTTAGTGTATTAGGGGTTAAGTGGCTCATTGTCTGTACACATCTACCATTTACTCATCAGGAGTCATGTTCCATTAGCAGCCAGGCCTTGAGAGAGTCTGGAAGTCTATGTCTCCAGATGGGATTCAGTCCCCTTCTGGGAGCCCTGGGTGTCATATTACAGTGCTAAAATGCACATACATGCACACATGCACACACACACACACACACACACACACTTCAGGCACATACTGTAGACACTCACAGTAGATGAACACACAGACAGCTACCTAATTCTGATACACAGAATGGAGAATATTTTAATGTTTAATCTGAGTTTTCCTAACTTCCTGCTCCAAGTTGAACAAGATTGCACAAGTGTGTACATTCTAAATATTCCACTGATGCTCATATCTTCTTAACTAATGTAAGGTCTGTAACAGTGTTTTATGTGGGAATGTGTTTTCTCATTTGTAGCATATAATTTACTTCAAAGTACATGACAGTACAATCTCCAGGTGCTATTCTTATCTCTGTTGTTGTACTCTGACATTCTCCTCATCGTTGGACACCTAGCGGCAGAAATTCCACTCTGAAGTAAAACCTTTTTCTTTGCTGCCATGTTTATGTATAGTTTATGCTTTTGGCTGATACTGATCGAGGTCAAGACAAAATCATTTCCTTACCTCAGCCTGATCAGACCATTTTTAGCTCCTCTGAATCTTGAGACAATGATAGATGTGTCATGGAGAAACAGAAGGTTCGAACTGCTCTGTGAGAAATTTCTGTCTTTCTCATGACTCAATGTACAGCAAAAAAAAAAAAAACTCCACTGTCATAAACCACACAAACAAATTCAGCGAGACACTTGCATGTACTTTGTCTCCACTCTGGCATTACTGAGGACCACCTATTCAGTGAAGCCGTGACACTAAACACAAAGACAGAGAACTATGGTAGCAATGTCATCGGTTTATGGAAGTTCCAGGTGGTGTTTATGGACCATGAAGGATTTGCATGATGGATATTGTTTTAGTTATGTATCCTTCTGTGTAAATTTTGGTTTCAGCTATTAATAAAGCAAACAGGTAGATTTAGATGGGTGGATGTATGCATGTGTGTGTGAAATAAAGATTCTGAGAGCAAAGAATATGCTCCACAGGGGGGTGTTTATGAGGAGATGTTCAGGGTGAATTCCTCAGATAAGTGACACAGCCTCTTTCTGTGCTGGATGAAGAAGAGCACAGCGTACTGAAAGCTGTATATGGTAAACCTCAGGAACAAGCTGGAGTTATGAGCTTGGAGTGTACAGTGAGAAAGTGAAAAACTTTGTGCAGTTTTTTTTTCACATTGCAGGACACTGGGACACATGAACACACACACGCACACACACACATTCAAGAGCCCCTCTACATGGTGTCAGGCTCAGTTCAGATCACAGCATTCTTCAGATTCCTGTCTGTAACTGTACATGTCTGATTCAGTCTTACATCTTTTATCCACAAGCTGGGATGATGATGCTGATTCTCAGCTTCACCACATCACATACCTACACACTCACAACAAACAAGAGAGAACAATCCACTTGTGTGTCAGATAGAGGCCCCTCTATTTATTGCACTGTAAACATATAAAAGCAACACACTGCACATAAATATTTTCTCTGCTGTGTGTAACCTTGG